AAAACTTCCAGTGTCTTCCAGAAACAATGCCGGGGGCCAAATGCAAACTTGCTTTATTGTTCACTGAGTTTTGAGTACCAAAGTTGATCATAGATGAGATGTCGCCTTCTTCGGGACCTTTCGCGAATAGCCTAAGTCAGTTTTAGACATCCAGGGTGTGTCAAAAAAGTGTAGCAGTGCCAGAGCTGGGCACGGCTTGAGTGCTTTGTGCTTGTGAAAGTGCTTGAAGGACTTTGAGGACTTGAAAGCCCTGTGCTTCCATCCCTTTTTTATATTTATAATTGGGGCTTGCAAAGTCAATTACTCTAGAAAAGTGCTTGGTAATTTGTAATTGAAAAAAAGTAATTCAAGCCCTTTTAATGAGCTTCAATTACTTTTAGAGGGCTTGAAGCACTTTTGGATGCTTGAAGCACTCTGAAAGGGCTTGAAGCACTTTAAAAGGGCTTGAAGCACTTTGAAAGAAATTTGGAATTGACCATCATTTAACCTATCCAGCGTTGCCAACTTAGCGGATTTCCCGTCATATCTAACGGATTTTGGTGAAGGGAAGCGGAAAAAAAAAACAGTTTCAACGGGTGACGGATTTTTTAACGGGAACTTAAATCTGTTTTTTTTTAAAGATAATTCCCCAAGTCAGAAATGTAGCAACTATGTTGGCAACACAAACCCTATCTACATAAAAAAATTTAAAAGAATTGACAATTTTACATTGTATTGCCAACATAACAGACTTTAATGGCGTTTCCGATTGGTAGATCTAGTGTAAAATGAACTAGTACAATTTTTTCTATTCCTGTCTTTTTCTTCTACAGGTCGAATAAAAGGATGCAAATACACTCAGTGCGCAGTGAATCAACCAATCGGAAACGCCATAAATTTCCGTTTAAAAATTCTAAATTATGTTCTATAAATGTAATAAACTGGTTGTTTAGCGATTCAAGCTATTTTTGGTCTGTAAACAAGCCTTTACGGAAACGTTGATCCGACTAACCCGATCACCAGCTGATGTTATCTGTCTTTTTTCAATGGTTTTATTGGAAAAGGATAAAATACAAACAGCCGATGATTGGGTGAATCGGATCAGTGTTTCTAAAAACGTCTAAAATCAAATGGCATTGTCTTCAATGTCGCTAACTCTGCATAATTTGGTTGGCCCTACTGAATGCATTTTATTTGTTTAGCGCATTTCGCATTTTTCATTCTGACGGATTTTATTGACGGAAAAGAAAATGGTTTAACGGATTTTAGACGGAAATCTACAGCAAAGTTGACGGAATTAAGAAAATACTATTGGCAACACTGAACCTATCCCCCACCTAAAAATTTTCGATCGATGTGTTTTGTCGCTTAATTTTTTTTTCTATTAGATATTTGAACTAGAACCGTCCAATGTCTTTTCTCTCTTAACAATGGAGGTTTTGGGTTTCAGCTTAGAATTGAATTTAAAAAAAAGTGAATGAAATGATAATTCAAATAAATAATTAATTTATATTGGTACCCTATTATTTAACTTTACCACGGGATTTTTTTTTCACTTTTCTCATTAAACATTCTGAAAACCTTAAAATTGAATTACCATGTAGTACCCCAACTACCCCAAGTACTCCAGAACTATATCTCAAAAAAAAAAAAAAATACTGCTACTCTGTGAAATTTAATGTTCATCTCTACTGTACTAATTCAACTGATGAGTGTACGCGGTAGCTTATGCCACTTTGAGAATTTTAATACAAATTCAAATTGCTTTAGGCACATTTACAGGGCTTCAAGTACATTAAAAGAGCTTCAAGCACCTTTAAAGAGCTTGAAGCACATTTAAAGAACATCAAGCACATTTAAAGAGCTTGAAATCCCTTTTTAAATCACTTTGAGGGCTTTGTGCTTGTGAAGCACTTTTGAAAATAAAAAGGAATTTGTGCTTGAAATTTAAGCACTTTGATAGAGGGCTTAGGGCTTAGTGCTTCAAGCCCTTTTACTGAGGGCTTTGCCCAGCTCTGAGCAGTGCAGATTTCTGATTTTTCAGATATTTCAAAAATTCATCAGCTCTTTCAGTAGGTACTTGAATTGATTAATGTCTTCATGCCACGATCAACAGTAACAGTTTCACTCTCTTCCTTTTGACCTGACATGCTTTTTGATTAGTTTTTTAGAAGTTGGATTCAGGTCAATAAAACAGCGTTGGAGATGAAAAATATGTATTTGTCGACGTTCCGACCTAAACTAGGTTATCCTCAGGGCACAAAAAAATATTTTTATTTATTTATACAGCTTTCATCATTTGCAATACTATTATTTTTTATTATCCAATTGTTTTAAATTAAACAGGATCACAATGGACCGCGGAATAGGCCTTGACCTTGAATTAAAAAAATTCCAGGTATGGGATCGATGGGGACTTTTTAGCATTTATTTATAATGGTGTTCCGAACATTCATACCAATTTTCAGCTCTATGGGAATTTTTGTAACTTCACTACTATTTTTAGTTGTATTTTGACCGTTTTCCAAAATATAGACATATATGTCTCAGATAGGACATAAAACTCTATTATTGTCATCTGTATCAGATTTGTCTAAGTTTAAATATTTTAAAACTGTCTGAGAGTTATCTATTTTGTATTAAAACTAAAATGCTTATAGCTTTTCTCATACTCACACTTCAAATTTAAGAGTGTTATCAATTAAAGATACCTATAGCAGTAGACTATGGTAAAAGACAACACAAAAATTCCTCAATTGATCCAATTGTTAACTTTGAGATTTGGATGATGATAGCAGCGTTTATCATAAGATAAGGGTAATATAATATAATCATATCACGTCATAATTCAAGTAGCTAAAAGATATATCAATAAAATAATTCGAATACGTAGGTATAAGTAATTTAGGTTTTAGAACAAAAATTAATATTTTAGACCAAAAAAATCCAAAGCACTAAACTGGAGGGAAATTTTCCTGTAAATTTCATTGAATTAAATTTATCTTTATTTGGTTGAATGCATCATGCTGATGTATTTGTTTTATGTAACCTGATATATTATTTGTTGGTTTCTATCTGGGCGGCTTAAGAGATAAATATTATGTTTCAACATAAAAGTAAGATTCTAAACTATTCTCTATTCTAAAAGATTAAATATCAATTTTATAATATTTTCAACTAAGATATTTGTCAATAATTTTCTTGTGTTTATGCGTGTACCAGATTTTCTTACAAATAAAAAGTTTTCATCAAGTTTTTGAACTAGTCCCCTTATACAATCCAAGACTATGACGAAATTTTCATTGATAAATGAAATCTAGTAAAAAGCATCATTGAACCCTAAACTTAAAAAAAAAAATAGTTTTCTGAAAAGGAATACCCACTTAATCGACTTTAAAAAAACCTACTGCTGTACCATATATACAGTAGGTATTCCATGGAAAGTTGTTTGTCCTCGAAGCCTGTTTTGCATTTTTGCCACAATAATTGGACAGGTATAATTCTTTGTCATTTCTAATCTTAATGGTGATGACCCTCAATTTTTTTTTGCTCAAGGGTCAAATAAATAATAAGTACATTGTTTTTAACCTAAACTATCATTCCTTGATTCGTTGAAATGGTTTTTCGACAATTTGAAGGTCGGTTTTTGACCGCCTATACACAAATGCTTGTACAAATACGTACTGAAAAAAATTAGGTCTAAAATGATGATAATTCGGGCCAAACATGTGACTAGCTTCCTCTGGGTTTAAAATTGAGTAGCCTCTTGAAACCTTTGTTGTATCCTTCGCCACTATTGATTGCCGCGATGACTTAATAATGCCTTCGGATTTTCTTACATTACTTTCTGTACCTTTTTATACCGAGTTCTGTGGTGTTGTGGTGTTCCACCCGTTCTAACCAGATCCCGAGCCCTTATTGCAATAAATCAGAGCCTCATTCAGATATTCTAAAATTGTGGTTTCTGGAACATTAACATTTCTTAATGCGCTTTTTATTTTTATTCTTTCCGATTTCATACATTCAGAAAGAGTTTTTTCAAGTATTTTTCAGTGTATTTGTAAGATACTTTTCTTGAATCCAATAAAAGTTATTTACTATTTCTAGACGCCCTTCCAGCCAGCACTTTTCAGATTTTCTGTTGTATCATCAACAGAGTTCCAGTCATGTCATGGGAAAGATGTTAAATGCTTTTTTCAGTAGCATAGCCTGTTTTCAATAAAGTACCCATTGCAAAAATTTATTATTAGCAAATACCTATACAATAGCTAGGTATTTTTTATACTTATACATTTTCTACTCATAGGTTTGGCCTCTTGATTATCAAAAATGTACATGCAAAGATAAATAAAGCGCTTAATTACAGTTGAAATTCAAGACAGGAAATATTATAGATCCAAGTCCGTCCCAGTCAGAATTCCAAATACTATAATTTGCCCAAATAATTATTCACACTACACTGAATAAAATGTAATGTAAAACCGGAAACCAAAGCTTGAATAAAACTGATACGGCCCTTTCATATCCTGTAACATGAGATAATATAGTATTTTATACATCATGAATATTTATTATCAAAGTTGTCCAGGTCGTGAACCTGAAATTTGAATGCAAACTTGTGAGATTTTAGAAATTTAAATGAAAGCCCTAAATAGAACAATGGCTACGTTCAATCGATCACGACATTAGCACTTAAGCTGAATTAGAAACAATAAGAAAAAATCCTGCACGTTTAAGTCTAAGAATAAAATGACTCATGAGCCCGCAACTTCAGGATTTTTCTATTCCAAGAATATTCTGTGTTACTCCTGAAAGTGCAGACATTTTGCTGATATATATTTTCGAAACGTGCACACTATGAAATTATAACGTATTGTATATTTATGTCCTTGTCGATTTCACTAGAAAAGAGTGTTTGATATGTTACTTGACCTTGCCGGATTTCCAAGCCAATAAATTAAAAAATTACTTTCTTTTCTATCAAAGGTTATACTATTGATGTATTATATAATTTTTTGCAGGGTTTCAATGGAAAATTGGCTTTTGCTATCGCTGCCTCAGCACTGGGCTCGTCATTCCAACACGGTTACAATACAGGAGTCACTAACAATTCCCAAAAAGTAAGCACGTTTTTCATTTTTTGACTAAAATCTGTAAGTTCCTTTTTGTAGGTTGTAGAACAATGGATAAACGGAACACTGGAAGACAGGAGTGGAATTGTACCAACAAAGGAGAGTATCACCCTGGTGTTCTCGCTGATGGTGTCAATTTTCTGTTTTGGTGGTATGCTGGGTGGAGCTGTTACCGGTAAGCTTAGTCCTAAATAACATCAGTCATTCAAGTTTAATGACCTTTTTCTTCAATTGTGACTCTTCTCAGGAAGTTTTTATTGGAGCAAATTGAATTTTAAGTGGCTTATTGTTGACAAGACAATTTAAGGATTCTCTATTAAAATTCCGCTTAATGCAGCTTGATTTGTGATTGCATAGATTACAATCCCAAAGTTTTTAAATAAAATGTGTTATTCTGTTGCGCCAATAAATTTTGCCTTTAACTGACTGTAATTGAAGACATATGGAAACATGTGGCATAGTAAGTTAGACTAGAGTAAAGAAACTAAGTATTTACAGAGTGTCTCTTAAATATCTGTCTAGTATACAAAATAATGGTTACTTTATCAGTAATACATGGATTCAAAATAAATAACTGTTTAGGAAATGAAATTTATGGCACAAAAGTTTACTTTCCAATGACTTATCGAAACATGGAGCCACAAAATGTTTGAAACAAATAAATCTTTACAGTACAAGTATCCTAAAATGTTTACGGACATGGCGATAGTCAAGTCAAGTCAAGTCTGGTTTCGGTATTATCGTTGTATTATTGACCATCTGCGAAGTATACACTCGCTAATCAATGAAAGGACGGAATATAATGTACTCTTATATTTTTGGCTTTTGTCTTGTCGACCAGAAGGCACTTGACTTCGGCGAAACGAGATTGGATTACGCAAGAATCGGTTCCAGCTATTCAACCCTCATAAAATATATTTACGATATCTACCTACTAAAACTCTAGCATGAAGATTGCCAAATTCTAACTCGATAAGAAATACAAGGAGACAGATTAAATACCAATAAATCTGAAACGAAAACTTTACGATTATTGTATGTATATTGTCCGTCGTTTTTAATCTGACACTTTCCCTATGAGGAGCGAGGGGGTGAAGCTTATGGCAAAAACAGGTGAGACGTCAGATGACCATTGGCGTTTTAATGTAGGGAGCCACCAGCTCACATTTTTTTGGAGTATCAAATTATAATCAACAGACTTTACCTACTACTTTCTCTTCCAACATAGAAAAACCAGGAAAAGAAATACATACTATCTCAGCCAAGAGAAGTGTTGAGACCCCCGGAAAAGATGAACAATGACACACAGCCAGGGAACTGTAGGAGAAACCTGGATAGACTATAGAGACAGCCCTTAACAAAAAAAAAATGTGGACAGATTTGGATGAGACCTACCTACATCCAGGAGTACAGGAACTTTGAGAAGAGAAGACACTACACACATCTTATTTATTCCATATTGTTTTATTCGCATATGGAAAAAAGTACATAGTAGACAAATTTATTGTTCATAAATCGTAAAATTTCTATGAATTCGTAAAGCTATAGCTTACGATGATCTGTAACTTTTGTGTTTATAGAGAATCGTAAAAATGAAAAATAGCAATTGTGGAATATTTAAAGGTCTAATTTACAGAAGTGAGATCGGAAGTATTTACAATTCTATAAGATTTTCTCTTTAAATTAGAGGAGACAGAGAGGACCAGTCTCGTTAGATTGTGCTACCTTTCTGTACCAAAATGTAAGAGGCTTAAAAACCAAACTATAAAAGATGCTTTCTGTGCTGCTCGCGCCGAGTCTTTCTCAGTTCTTGCACTTACGGAAACCTGGCTAGACTGTAGTATCTGTGATGCCGAATTTCTTGAATCGCGTTACACGGTTTATCGCTCTGATAGAAGCAGTCTGAACAGTACTAAAAGCCATGGAGGTGGGGTCTTTCTAGCAGTAAATAATTGCCTTAAATCTCGTCGCCTATCAATTGGTGAAGCATAGGTGGAGAAAACGTGGGTGTCTGTGACGCTGGGTGGCTTGATCTTCTGTATTGGCTGTGTCTACATTCCACCTACCATGGATGTGTCGCATTATGAAAACCATTTGAAATCAGTTGCTAGTGCCGGTGAAATGTTTGATAATGTGCTTGTTCTTGGAGATTATAATCTTTCCGAAATAATGTGGTCCACTAGTAAGGATCTCTTTGGTTTATTACCTGGAAATGTAAGGACAACTAAGGAAATATTGTTATGTGATAGTCCTGCTTCTCTTAATCTATCTCAATACAATGGGGTGGCTAACGATCATGGTTCAATCCAGGATCTATGCTTTGCCAACTTTGGGCCCATTTCACTTGTAACATCTGACGGTCTGGTGGGCTGTGATCGTTATATATATTATATATATAAATATTATATATTTTCTTTCCTTTGATTAGCGATCCATTATGATGGAGGATCTAAACGAAACTGTTAAGAGCTTTTACTCGGTACTGTTCGACTGCTTTAATATTATGTTTGTTCCCATAAAGGCACCTTCGTACAGCGATAAATTTCCTATCTGGTTCTCTAACGAATTGAAAAATCTGATTTTTCAAAAGAAAATTGCTCACAAACGATTCAAGCGGTCGAATAGTGGTTTGGATTACTTTGCATTTAGTACAATTTCGGAGAGATTGTAAAAACCTCACCAAGGAGTGCTACAAATTATACATAAGTGATACTGAAAGAGCCATAGGCACGCAATATGAAAATTTTTTGGAACTTTATTCACTCCCAATCTAATCAATCTAACGAAATGTTTCTTGCCTCAGAAAAGGCGTCCAACGGTGTTGACATAGCTAATTTTTTCGGTGACTATTTCTCCTCCGTCTATAACCCTCAGAGAAATTCCGACGCTGGAACCTTTGCTGATCGATTTGAGAATGTTTCAAGCATTGTCATAGACCCAACCGATATTAAGAGGATTTTAACGCAAGTGGACATCAACAAGTCTGCAGGACCTGATGGTATTCCTAACAGAGTACAAAAATCTTGTTCTAACACTTTGTATCTCCCTCTATTTAATATTTTCAACAAATCATTATCTTCCGGAATTTTTCCAGAAATGTGGAAGCTCTGCTACGTTTTTCCTATTTACAAGTCAGGCAGCAAAAATGATGTAACAAAGTACAGACTCATCAGCATTCTGTCTGCGATTCCAAAATAATTTGAGCAGAGCGTGATAAAAATTCTTTCAAAAATATTTCATCAGATTGTGATCAGTCAACAGCACGGTTTTACAGCCGGTAGATCTGTTGAGACGAACCTGTTTCTCTTTACAACATTTATAAATTCATCGTGCTAATAATGCAGAAACTCATGCAATATATACTGACTTCAGTAAAGCCTTTGATAAGGTAAACCACAACATCCTTCTTTCAAAGTTTTCAAGTTTTGGTGTTTCTGGACATTTACTTTCATGGATAAAATCTTACCTTACTAACAGAATGCAACAAGTCAAGATCGATGGCTATCTTTCTTCTCTTTTCCATGCATCCTCTGGGTACCCCAAGGTTCTCACTTGGGCCCCCTTCTATTCAGCTTATTGAGAATCGTTGCTCTCCTCAAATTTTTTACTTTTTGCTGACGACTTGAAGTTGTATCGTCAGGTGACGTCAGCTCAAGACATACTTATTTTGCAAAATGTCCTCAACATCGTTTATGATGTGTCAGCTTAATGACATGTCCCTCAGCATCGATAAGTGTTGTTGTATAAGATTCAGTAGACGCACCCATCGTGTTCCCTTGCAGTATTACTTAAAAAATGTTCGCTTGGCTGAAGATCTTGGTGTCTATCTAGATACTAGCACTGAGCATTTTGAAGTGGTAATTGGCAGGGCTAATAAAATGTTGGGTTTTATTAAGAGAGCTACTAGGGACTTTACAAGTATACGCCCTATCAAAATTCTTAACACATCACTGGTCAGGTCCGTTCTTGAATTTTCATGCATAGTTTGGTCACCTTACTATCAGATCCACATCAATAGGCTTGAGAGTGTTCAACACAACTTTATCAAGTTTGCAAGGTACAAACTTCTTCGAGTGGTGTGATTCTCAGTGATGACCTGACCACAGCTCACCTGACTATGACTTACTTAGACTTAAAGACTTATCTACTCTTGTTCGCAGAAGGGAATATTTTCATGTCTGTTTTGCATTTAAAATCCTTAACCACAACCACTACATAAAAAGCCACGAATGTCTTGAATGTTTTAATCTACACATTCAAAGTTATCGGACACGAAGTAAATCTTTACTGCACATTCCTTAGTGTCGAACCTGGTACTTACTATTCAGTCCTGTGAATAGAATATCTGCCAATGTGAATAAGTTCTGTGAGAGCCTTAAGTTCTTTGGTTTATCTCTGGATAAATTAATGTAAGACAAAGGCCAGGAGAATTGTTTTAGGTTAGATTTTTTAGATTTAAACTCTGTACAACTTCAAATGTATTTTTCTTATACGTAAATGAATAAATAAATAAATAAATAAATACAGAAAGCACAGAATTGCAAATTGTCTATAAGCTTATAGAAAGTTATAGATTTGCTTACAAATGTGCAAAGAATTGGCCTGTTCCTGTTAATCCCAAAAACGTCTTTTGGAAACCCGCACCACATCTACAGATATTAAATATATGTTGATTATAAAGATATCTCCAACGAATCCAAAGTTCTGAGTTTAATCATGAAATTTCAGTTTTCAATACCAAATCAACTTCCTGACTATCCATATTTTGGATTAGTTGTGGCCCCGTTTTTTTAATTTAAAAAAAAATTGCTATAAGCTGATCATAGTGATCATTGAAGATATGGTATAGATCTTCCAGCATTATTTCACACTAGTGAAATTTGATTTCAAATTAATGAAAAGTAAATTCACAACAGTTAAATCTAGTTTCGCTCAAATGAAAGTTAATTTCAAAGTAACGAAAACAAATTTTTCACAAAAGAAATCTAATTTCACATTTTTCAAATGGATTTCAAACTAATCCTAATTAGTACTCATTTTTCATACATTTATTATTTTAATTTGAAGAAACATCAACAATGTTATTAATTCCACCCTAATAAAATAAACCCACTGAGTTCACACGGTACGCGACAACTCGGCGATGCAAAGTCGGCGACGGTCAACTCGGCGATG